GCTTGAACCAAATCTCGAGCCTTGAGCTTTACGGGAATTTTTATCTTCAGCCAAGTCTCGAGCCTTGAGCGAGCCTTGAGCTTTACGGGAATTTTCAGCTTCAAAAAAGTCTCGAGCCTTGAGCGAGCCTTGAGCTTTACAGGAATTTTTAACTTCAACCAAGTCTCGAGCCTTGAGCTTTAGGGGAATTTTCAGCTTCAACCAAGTCTCGAGCCTTGAGCGAGCCTTGAGCTTTACGGGAATTTTCAGCTTCAAAAAAGTCTCGAGCCTTGAGCGAGCCTTGAGCTTTACGGGAATTTTTAACTTCAACCAAGTCTCGAGCCTTGAGCTTTAGGGGAATTTTCAGCTTCAACCAAGTCTCGAGCCTTGAGCGAGCCTTGAGCTTTACGGGAATTTTCAGCTTTAAAAAAGTCTCGAGCCTTGAGCGAGCCTTGAGCTTTACGGGAATTTTTAACTTCAACCAAGTCTCGAGCCTTGAGCTTTAGGGGAATTTTCAGCTTCAACCAAGTCTCGAGCCTTGAGCGAGCCTTGAGCTTTACGGGAATTTTTATCTTCAACCAAGTCTCGAGCCTTGAGCGAGCTTTGAGCGAGCCTTGAGCTTTAGGGGAATTTTCAGCTTCAATCAAGTCTCGAGCCTTAAGCGAGCCTTGAGCTTTAGGAGAATTTTCAGCTTTAACCAAGCCTCGAGCCTTGAGCGAGCCTTGAGCTTTACGGGAATTTTCAGCTTCAACCAAGCCTCGAGCCTTGAGCGAGCCTTGAGCTTTACGGGAATTTTCAGCTTCAAAAAAGTCTCGAGCCTTGAGCGAGCCTTGAGCTTTACGGGAATTTTTATCTTCAACCAAGTCTCGAGCCTTGAGCGAGCTTTGAGCGAGCCTTGAGCTTTAGGGGAATTTTCAGCTTCAATCAAGTCTCGAGCCTTAAGCGAGCCTTGAGCTTTAGGGGAATTTTCAGCTTTAACCAAGCCTCGAGCCTTGAGCGAGCCTTGAGCTTTACGGGAATTTTCAGCTTCAACCAAGCCTCGAGCCTTGAGCGAGCTTTGAGCGAGCCTTGAGCTTGAGGATTATTTTTCGCTTCAACCAAGTCTCGAGCCTTGGGCGAGCCTTAAGCGTGCCTTGAGCGAGCTTTGAGCGAGCCTTGAGCTTGAGGATTATTTTTCGCTTCAACCAAGTCTCGAGCCTTGGGCGAGCCTTAAGCGTGCCTTGAGCGAGCTTTGAGCGAGCCTTGAGCTTGAGGATTATTTTTCGCTTCAACCAAGTCTCGAGCCTTGGACGAGCTTTAAGCGTGCCTTGAGCGAGCCTTGAGCTTGAGGATTATTTTTCGCTTCAACCAAGTCTCGAGCCTTAAGCGAGCTTTGAGCGAGCCTTGAGCAAGCCTTAAGCGAGCTTTGAGCGAGCCTTAAGCGAGCCTTGAGCGAGCTTTGAGCGAGCCTTGAGAGAGCTTTGAGCGAGCCAACATTTTTTTACGCGGGAAGGCAGGGAGTAGAGGCTTGTCGCGCAATTTCAATCATTGATGTACAATTTTTCTCCTCAAGCGATCAACACTGTCCTGGCTTCTGCCTATCAGATGTTTTAGTTTGTATTTCCAAATGAATACATACGGTATCCAAATCGTTAATCTCTTAATCTATAATTATAATTATCAATAAATCGAAATATAATTAATCAATAAATTATTGACTTTATAATGCAATCAGTTAATAACCTTTCGAGGGAATATACATTTGTTTACACAAAAACTATATGATTTAATAATGTTTATAGATGTGTAAATAAAAATAACTTAACAAAGAAGTTGCCTATGTAGTGAAAAGTTGTAATAATTATTAGATTTAAACTTTTTAAGTTTTTCGACAGAATCGTTGACTTTAAAATTTGTTTAATTTTCTATATCCCACAAGTTATAAATCAAACAAATTATGTACAATTGCTATCAAGCTAGAGTCTATATTATCAAACATAATAAAGTATTCAATGGAGAAATATTTGTACTACTAGTAAAAATTTATTTATATCTAAAATCTGTTTTTCTTTCAATTCGAATCACATGTTATCTTTCGTTATAACCACAAAAGAAATCTTTTGAAACAACCTAAAACAAGTTATAGAAGATTTAAGGCATCAAAAGGTCTGTTTGAAAGTAGGATTAAGGATACTTATTGTACGTATATTTTTGCTCCTTTTTCTCTATCTCTCTCTTTTTCGCTGAGTCTCTTGAGATTGGAGGGAAAATAATAGAATACGTGAAACCTTTTTCGCATCAGATTTGATGGGTTTCATCCTGTTACTGAGGGAGTTAGACAAAAGTTAACAATTCTCGTGGGAGTCTAACTTTCTACTATATTGATAACAACAACAATGAAAAACATGCGAAAATATTTGTCACTTGTATAATCAATTCTTGAATTGTCACGACAAGTTTTTTTAATCTTTGCATTTTTTTATGTTTATTTATTTTTAATCTTGTTTATTTTTAATAAACTGTAATAATTATTTAAGAGAAG